GATTATGATGATGATCGTGACGATGATGATGCTGAGTGCGATGGTGATGGTGATGCAAAGGATGATGGCTATGATTACCCATACGACAATGATGTTGATGGTGATGCTGATCGTGGTGGTGATGGTGGTGATTGTGATGGTGATGCAAATGATAACTATGATTATTCATCTGACAATGATGCTGATAATGATGATGATGGATGGTGATGGTGATGTTGGTGATGATGAGGATGTTGCTGATGATGACCTCTCAGAAAGCTGGAGGGCTTCTGGGAAGCCCTGCCGCCTCCTGTGAAGGCCTGCCCTCTCTCCCTTCCCCACATGGGCGCGACGCAGAATCAAGGTGCTTGACAGCCGAGGCAGGAGAGACAGCAAAAACATGAGCTGTCGGAGGTCCATGCGGATGCGGATTTGATGGGCCTGCTTTCCACCACCACCACCAGAACTTGGAGGGGGGAAGGAGGTGGAGGAGGAAGAGGAAGAGGAGGAGGAGGAGGAGGAGGAGGAGGAGGAGGAGGAGGAGGAGGAGGAGGAGGAGGAGGAGGAGGAGGAGGAGGAGGAGGAGGAGGAGGAGGAGGAGAAGAGGAGGAAGAGGAGGAGAGGGAGGAGGAGGAGGAGGAGGAGGAGGAGGAGGAGGAGGAGGAGGAGGAGGAGGAGGAGGAGGAGGGAAAAGGACCCCCTCCCCCTCCAACTCATGGTGGTGGTGGTGGCGGTGGAAAACAGGCCCATCAGGATTTCTTGGATCTGCGCTGGACGCCCCCCCTCCCTGGTGCGCGGAGCGCGCCAAGGGCAGGACTGGAGGCGCCGCCACGGGGGGGATCGGCGCCGATCCGAGAAATCTGCGAGGAGGACCGCGAGTTTGTGTTTGTGCAAATGTTCCTTAAAGAACAGGTCTCGCCGAACGTTTCCTGCCACACCTCTGGAGGCTTGCCTCGGGGGCCTGGCCTGGGGGGGGGGGGGGCATCGAGCTGAAATCGGCGATGCGTTGCCGATACTTGAGCAGGCCGAAAGATGTTCCTCTTGACGCCCACGTGACAAATGCGAACTGTCGTTGGCTGTAGCTGATGCGGACGCAGCGATCAGATCGCGCTCGCGTTGACGTGGGGTGCGGCATGTGTGATGGGAGGCCCCGGGAGTTGGCCAGGCCCGCTGTGGCGCTCGAACACCCACATGTTATGGAGGCTGCGGGAGTTGCCCGGGGCAGCTGTGGCGCTCGATCAGCGACATGTTATGGGAGGGGTTCGGGGAGGTGGCCATGCCGCTGTGGCGTTCGAGCTCTCGACTTGGGCACCGCGGTCGTTTTCCCTCCTCCTGCCTCCTCCCTCATCGGCCTCTTCCGCCCTCCGTCCTCGTCCGCCTCCCCCCTCGGTAGGGAAACCCCTCCCCCGTAGAATCATAGCTTGGGCTGCAGGTCCAAGGCTCCGTGGATTCATTTCCCCTTGGGTCCTTTTGTATTAATTGTTAGTAGCATTATAAACGTGTTAGAAAAGAAGACTTGGATAAACTTGTTAGAAAAGAAGACCTGGATCCTCGAAGCCTCCACACCAAAAAAATGGATCCGGAAAACACGGAATTTTGATCCACCTGACTCTCGCACACACGTAATTGGATACAAATGGACCCATGCGTTCCCACGCAAGAGGAAAACTTTTGGCTTGGGGGTGAAGAGTTTTGCGCCCCTTCTGTCCTTCAGCGCGCTGCACGCGCTGGCGGGGGGGGGAGTGGGGGTCAAAACCCCACTGAAGAGTTTTGCACCCCTTCTGCATTTCAGCACGCTGCACATGTTGGCGGGGGAAATGGAGGTCAAAACCCAAGGATGTTGCCCCCTTTTCTGCCCTTCAGCACGCTGCACGCGTTGGCGGGGGAGATGGGGGTCAAAACCTCACTTGAGCAGGCCGAAAGATGTTCCTCTTGAGGCCCACGTGACACATGCGAAGTGTCGTCGGCTGTAGCTGATGCGGACGCAGCGATCATATCGCGCTCGCGTTGACGTGGGGTGCGGCATATGTGATGGGAGGCCCCGGGAGTTGGCCAGGCCCGCTGTGGCGCTCGAGCACCCACATGTTATGGAGGCTGCGGGAGTTGCCCGGGGCAGCTGTGGCGCTCGATCAGCGACATGTTATGGGAGGGGTTCGGCGAGGTGGCCATGCCGCTGTGACGCTCGAGCTCCCGACTTGGGCACCGCGGTGGTTTTCCCTCCTCCTCCCTCCTCCCTCATCGACCTCTTCCGTCCTCCCTCCTCGTCCGCTTCCATCCTCGGTAGGGCAGCCCCTCCCCAGTAAAACCATAGCTTCGGCTGCAGGTCCAAGGCTCCGTGGATCCATTTCCCCTTGGGTCCCGTGTATTAATGATTATTCTAAATTTACTCCAGAAGAAGACTTGGATCCTCGAAGCTACGACGCCAAAAAATCGGATCCGGAAGCGGAACTTGGATCCACGTGACTTCCGCATGCACGTAGTTGGATACAAATGGATCCATGTGTTCCCATGCACGAGGCAAAATACGCTCGGCCTGGGGATGCTGAGTTTTGCACCCTTTCTGCCCTTCAGCACGCTGCACGTGTTGGCGGGAGAGACGGGGGTCAAAACTCCACGGAGGAGTTTTGCACCCCTTCTGCCTTGCAGCACGCTGCAAGTGCTGGCGGGGGAGACGGGGTCAAAACCCAAAGGTTTTGCCCCCCTTCTGACTTCCATCACGCTGCACGTGTTGCGGGGGACACGGGGGTCAAAACCCAACTTGAGCAGGCCGAGAGATGTTCCTCTTGAGGCCCACATGACAAATGCGAAGTGTCGTTGACTGTAGCGGATGCGGACGCAGCGATCATATCGCGCTCGCGTTGACATGAAGTGCGGCATATGTGATGGGAGGCCCCGGGAGTTGGCCAGGCCCGCTGAGGCGCTCGAGGACCCACATGTTATGGAGGCTGCGGGAGTTGGCCGGCGCAGCTGTGGCGCTCGAGCAGCGACGCGACACGTTATGGGAGGGTCTCGGAGAAGTGGCCAGGCCGCTGTGGCGCTCGAGCTCCCGACTTGGGCACCGCGATCGTTTTCCCTCCTCCTCCCTCCTCCCTCATCGGCCTCTTCCGTCCTCCCTCCTCGTCCGCCCCCCTCCTCGGTAGGGAATCCCCTCCCCTGTAGAAACAAAGCTTGGGCTGCAGGTACAAGGCTCCGTGGATCCATTTCCCCTTGGGCCCCTTGTATGAATTATAATTATAAAACTACTCCAACAGAAGAATTGGATCCTCGAAGCTTACGCGCCAAAACAAATGATCCAGAAGACACGGAACTTGGATCCACGTGACTCTCGCAGACACGTAGTTGGATCCAAATGGATCCATGCGTTCCCACGCAAGAGGAAAACACTTTCGGCCTGGGGATGTAGGTCGGCGAGTGGCCCACATCGGGCCCCTTATCGGGCAGCGATCAATGTGCGACTTGGGGATCGATGCGTCCCCACATGAGCGAAATTATGACTGCCTACCAGACCACCCCAACCTAACCCGAAGACCCGAATTTCGGGATGGGGGGGGTGCGGGTTCCACACGTGTTTTGTCAATGTCCCCCAACGACCCCCCCCACTGGGAATGGAGGGCCAATCGGGGCCTTCGGGTTGGGTTGGGGTGGTTTGGTGGGCGGTGAAATGATCCCCCCTGACGTTGCCCCTGTTGCCTCTGGGTTTTCGGGCCATAGCTCGGCTCTCCGGCGGCCAAGCGGAAAGCTATGGGCACCCCCAGAGTGCCCTCGGCGAGGCGCAGCTGCCGCAGCACCTCGCCGAGGCAGGAAGGCCTCCAGGAACCGACGGAGGCATCCGAAAACCATGCCGCTGCTGCCCCTGATACTTGGCCGCGTCCATGGTGCAGCGGTGCCAGCATGCGGCAGCCACATACCTCCTCCTCCTCCTCCTCCTCTTCTTCTTCTTCTTATTCTTCTTCTTCTTCTTCTTATTATTCTTCTTATTATTCTTCTTCTTCTTCTTCATATTATTCTTATTCTTTTTCTGCTTCTTCTTATTATTATTATTATTATTATTCTTCTTCTTATTCTTCTTATTATTCTTCTTATTCTTCTTCTTCTTCTTCTTCGTCTTCGTCTTCGTCTTCGTCTTCTTCTTCTTCTTTTTCTTCCTCCTCCTCCTCCTCCTCCTCCTCCTCCTCCTCCTCCTCCTCCTCCTCCTCCTCCTCCTCCTCCTCCTCCTCCTCCTCCTCCTCCTCCTCGTCGCGCCAGTACGGAGCCCTTGTGACGCGAACGGGAGGAAGGGCGGCATCTCTTGAGGCTTGCGCTCTCCCGGGGCTCCTTGTTCAGCCCTCTCTGCTCCTGAGCGGTGGCCCGCGAGTACCACTCGAGCGGCTGGTCCCGCAGGCCCTTCACGAGCTTCGTGTAGGTGCCGGGCGCCCACTTCTGAGGGCGAGCCCAGGGGCCCGAGGAGAGGAGGAGGGGGAGAGGCGAGCTGGAGCCATTGTGGATCATTTCGGCTCAAGTCTCGTGCGAGTTGCTCAGGATCCGAATTCACCATCACAATCTTCAGGCCGGCGCTCAAGCCTGGCTGAGATGCAGACCAGGGGATAGGTCAGACACAGACCAGCGCACAACGCTGGGACGCGTGATTGCGAGGGCGACGGCAAAGAAACAATAGAAAGAACATCATCGCATCAGTTCATGTCTCCATCACTTTCGTGTCGCAGTGCGAACCAGCTTCTCATCACAGAGGGGGGGCGGAACCCTCAGATCTGAGCGTTTCGATATGAAATAGCGACCGCTGGTTTTTCGCAGCTGTCGCGGCCTCCGGAGCCGTTCCCGGGCCCCGGGACAGATCAACTTGGGATGAAGAGGCGGTCCCGAGGAAGTGGTCGAAGGCCCCGTGGGCCGACGACACAGAAAGAGCGCAATGTCTCGGGAAAGAGGGGTCACGGAGGAAGGGGGGGGGGGAGTGCGGGCAGCGAGCCGTGTGGTGGAGGGGGACACCATGCGCGCTGGGCGGGCGCTCAGTAGGGAGAACGATTGCAACGTCGGAAGGAAGGGATCACGGAGGAAGAGGGGGGGGGGCGGGCAGCGAGCTGCGTCGAGGAGGGGCATGCCATGCGCGCGGGGCAGGCGCTCAGTAGGCAGATCTTTGGTTGAAGAGCTCTTTGAAGAGGCAGTGCGCATGGGAGCACAGAGGAGGTGCGTCAGGCTCGTGTCGTGCCGACTTCGGCGTTCGTGTTTCTGACACCTCGGTGATGGTTCAACCTGGAGCGACCAGCCGCTGTCGAAACGTCCGAATCGTTCCGCATCGAACGATTCTGGGTCGCCCGCGGCGTTCAACGTTGCACGCCGCTGGCGGATTCGCCGCCGGTCGACACGACGCAAACCCAGCGTAAAGGGATGCGAAGGCCACGGGGCAACCGCGGGTCTGGGAGCAAAAGAAGACGCGCCACCGCCCCCGAGGAGGAGGAGGAGGAGGAGGAGGAGGAGGAGGAGGAGGAGGAGGAGGAGGAGGAGGAGAGGGAGGAGGAGGAGGAGGAGGAGAAAGAGGAGGAGAAAGAGGAGGAGGAGGAGGAGGAGGAGGAGGCCCTCCAGCGGCGCAGCGCTCCCAACCCTCCCGACATAGCGCCTTGGTCACATGCTACTCGAGCCGTAGTCTCTACAGGGCAGCTCTGCCAAGTTAGCATTCGGTCGGGCATGTCCTCAAACAGGGGGATTTTAGGCGAAAAACAAAAGCATTCGAACGAAAATCCAAAATAGTCCAGAAGTCGTCCCCTGACTAATTCTTTGACTGTTTTTGAATTTTCGTTCTGTAGAGGGACACGCCCGACCTAAAGTTAGCAATTGGGACCGCTACGAAAACCGACTGCGCCCAAGCCTGGTCTGACAATGCCGGTGGCACAGGGCACGCTGAAGCTGAGCACCCTGACCACCAGGACGCCGCGGGGTCCCAACAGACAGCTGACTGCCAGCGTACGTAATCACACAGCGAATTCACGAGGCAACTGCGAGGTCTGCAAGCCCACGGGTTGCATTTAGGCCAGATGATGCTCGACAACGACACCAACCAAATGCTCGCTCAGCCGATGCGAGCGTGGTCATTGACAGCCAATTCCAGCACGAAAGGAATGTGCTTTTTTTGAGCTGTGCGTCGGCGTGGTCGCACCATTTTTGAACACAGCGCGAGCACATGCCGAACATACCACAGCGCGTAACAGCGGCAAATCCCGAGGACGTGCGACGTGGTACGCTACAGCCCGTGCAATGCCACATGGCGGGCTCCAGAAACCCTCTACCCCCCGATGGACATGCCAGCCCTTGGAAGGCTGATGCTTGCTTCCGCCGGCTTCTGCAGGCCTTCCACCGGCTTCCGCTGGCGGAGCCGCTTTCGCGTTGCTCTCGCCATCTTCCGCCCACCCTCCGCCGAGGAAGATGCCGAGTCCTTCGACCCTGGAAGGCGACGGCATTTCTGGAACGCCTCACATGTCCGCCGCATGAGGCATTCCTCAGAATTCCGGCCAGCCTGCACGTTGCCTATTTCAAAGGGGCGGAGGGAGGGGGCGCAAATTACGAGGAGCCAGCGGCGGCAGTCCTCTGGCTCTTGCTTCGGCCGCACCACCTTCGAGGAGCAGATGCCCTTAGCGTCGTTACCGCACTCGAGCAGCAGCTCCTGGGTGGATCCACCCTGGCGATGTCGCCCTCCACCTCGTCCTCCTCCCTCCTTCTCTTTCATCCCTCCTCCTCCCTCCTCCCTCCTCCTCCTACCACCTCCCTCCTCCTCCTCTCCCTCTTCCTCCTCCTACTCCCTCTTCCTACTCCTACTCCTCCTCCTCTCCCTCTTCCTCCTCCTACTCCTCCTCCACCTCTTCCTCCTCCTCCTGTTCCTCTTCTCCCTGTTCCTCCTCCTCCTCCTCCTCCTTCTCCTCCTCTTCCTCCTCTTCCTCCTCCCCGTGCCGATGACCCCCCTGCCTCCTTGGTTCTCGAAGTGGTCGGGGACGCACGGGGCAGCCTTTAAGGGCCCCTTCAGGGGCCCGACGAGCACCCCGACCACGAGGGCCAGGGAGTGGGGGTCGGGGCGACAAAGGCTTAATTCAGCAGACGCCCGCAGGTCTGGCGTTAGCCAGGACTGCTGCACGCCTGGTGTTAGCCAGGAATCAGTTCAGGGGGGAAGGGATGACTAGTAACTCGGCTGCCTCCGCACGGCAGGCGTCAGCCAGGACTGCTGTAGGCCTGGCGGTAGCCAGAGCCGCGCAAGTTCAGGGGGGGGGGGCGGGGCGACTAATCAAAAGGCTACTGCACGCCTGGCGTTAGCCAGGATTCAGTTCGGGTGGGGTAAGGGGGGCTCGTAATTCGGCTGCCTCCGCACGACTGGCGTCAGCCATCTCTGCTGCATGCCTGGTGGTAGCCAGGGCCAGGCTAGTTCAGGTGGGGTAGGGGCGGCTAACCAAAATCCAGCTTGCGCTCGCAGGACTGGCGTTTGCCAGGACTGCTACACGACTGGCGTTAGCCAGGAATCGGTTCAGGGGGGATGTGGGGTACTCGTAGTCCGGCTGCCTCCGCACGACTGGCGTCAGCCAGGACTGCTGCATGGCTGGCGTTAGCCAGAGCCACGCTAGTTCAGGCAGGGTAGGGGCGGTTAACCAGTATTCGACTTGCGCTCGCAGGAATGGCGTCAGCCAGGTTTGCTGCATGACTGGCGTTAGCCAGGAATCAGTTCAAGGGGAGGAGGGGTGATTCGTAGTTCGGCTGCCTCCGCACGACAGGCGTCAGCCAGTACTGCTGCATGGCTGGCGTTAGCCAGAGTCACGTTAGTTCAGGGGGGGATGGGCGGCTGATCAAAGTCCGGCCTGTGTCCACACGACTGGCGTAAGCCAGGACGGATGCACGACCGGCGTTAGCCAGGGATCAACTCCCCTGGGGGGGTCGGGGTGAACAACGCATAACGCGTCTTACTCAGGAGGGGTCGGGGCGGCTACACGGTGGCCGGATTCCGCACGGCTGGCGTCAGCCAGGACTGCTGCATGACTGGAGCTAACCAGGCCTCAGCCAGTTCAAGGGGTCGGGGCGGCCAAGGCGAAATTCGGCCCGCTTCCGCATGACTGGCGTTAGCCAAGAATGCTGCATGACTGGCGTTAGCCAGGAATTAGGGGGATCGGGGGATTCAAGCGGACTATTCTGCCGGAGGAAACTCCCGCGATAGCAGACAGCCTCGCTCCCAACCTCCTCGTCCTTCGGTCGTTCGGTTCGGCCCCCGCCGCCGTCGCCGACGCCGCTTCGGTCCCCTCCCGGCCGCCATCCATGTGCAAAATAGGTGGTGGATGCCCCTATACTCCGCCGCCGGTAAACCTATTTGTGACGCTAGCGCACCAACTCCCCCATCCTTCGTTTTGCTGCCACTGTTTGCATGGTGCCGCAGTGTGTCATATTTGCTGTGTTGCATCGCACCGCACGCATGTTGTATTTGCTTCCAGTGTGCTGCATAGCGCCGCACGTCACTTCGGAGCAACGAAATTCGTGACATTTTCGTTGCGTCTTGCATTGGGGTGCGATTATTTACTCCTGCGGGATAACTGCGCCTCCTCGTCGCCGTCTCTGTCGTGATCTCTCTGTCTCTGTCTTATACCCCTAGTGCGTTGTACTTCCGCACCGGGCACGTCGTCGGCTAGGCATTTCTCATTTACATGGCCCCCCTCCCGTCCTCATCGGTTGGGTATCCTCCATCCGTTCACAAGAGGGCCCCGTGTGAAGGACATTATGCTCGCTGCCCCCATATACAAACTTGCTTTGGCCCCAATATGGCCCAACATGGCCCTAAGATCGCCTCAAGACGCCTCCACGAGGGGCCTCAAGAGGGTCCCAAGTGGGCCCCAAAACTAGTAGCAGTATTAAATGGGGGCAATTTTTGTAGCATTTCTGCCCCCCCTTCTGAAGGGGGGCGTGAAAGGGGGGGGGACCTGCCCAACATGGGGGGCCGCGGCATGAGGATGTGCTCCACGGACACGCCCAACTCAGCGAGGGCGCTGCCCCTGCAGCCGCCGCGGACGGCGACGTCGTGCGTGAAGCTCCCGTCAGGGAGAGCCAGGCAGAGGCTGGTCGGGAAGAGCGGCCTGGGCAAGGGGACGAGGAGGCGGCGAGAGGCGAAGAAAAGGAGGAGGCAGCGGCGGCTGCTGCTGCAGCTCCGGGGGATGCCATTCCCCCCTCGGCTGCCGGAGGCACTCCTTTTGCCCTTGCCCCAGGGGCGGTGGCAGGCCCGTCCAGGTGGGGCGTGCCGCTCGCGCCGGAAGCGGCGGCGGCCCCAGTTGATACCAAGCATGGGGCAGCCTCCCAGGGCTCAGACGCCTTCGGCTTCGGCGTCGACGACTTCAGCGAGGAGATGGCCCTTGCAAAGGAGCAGCCCCCCGAGAATGCATGCGAGAGCAGCGGGCCGGTCGGCGACACAGGTCCTGCAGGCCCAGCCGGAGGCGCGGCTGCCAGTCCCCAAAGCCAGGAGGGACGCGTCCCAGGGCACGTGGAGCTGCACTTTGGCCTCGACGACCAGGTCCTGGCCAGGCACGCGTGGAGGGCTAGAGGGCACGCTCTCCTGCGCTGCCGAGTGGCGGAAAACCCCCAGATGCGCTTCGTGTTCTGCCTGCGGTGCGGCGGGGTTTTGGCGGGCCGCAAGCCCGGCAAGCTGCTCAAGAACTCTTGTGCCGAGGGCGGGAGTCCAGCGCAGGCAAAGAGCAGCTACGGCTGGTGCGCCTGTTGCGCTGGCCCCACTACGGCAAGGGGAGACAAGGTGGAACGCTCGAGGGGCCCTTTGCCCTAGGGCCCGAGGAGCAGCTGCAGCTCGCAGGCGACCTCCAGCTGGAAGGGGACCTGCCCGCGGCAGAGAGCGGCGGGCGTCGCGCTGCTGCTGGCGACGAGCGCCTTCCCGCCACGCCGGCGGATGCGCCAGGGCCCCAGGGCAGGCGGCCCGAGCCGAGGGCGGCGCGTCTCTTCCTGCTCCGCTGCTACGGGCTCACGGAGGACGACCTCGAGGAGGTCCGCCGTGTCGGCCGCGAGGCGGCCCGCACCCAGGCTGCCGACGCCTCCGACATAGTCTCCGAGGAGGCGGAGCTCGTGGGCTAGAGGCCTGCTGAGGCGGCCCCGGCGCCAGCCCCTTGCCAGTGCCCTCCAAGGCAGATGGACGAGGAAGGTCCAGCGAAAGCTACTTTAAGATGGGCGAGGCGGCGAGGGCCACCCCCATCGATCGTTTGACAGCGCGCAGCAGAACCAGTCGTCCGTCGGCCTGTCGGCCGCGCTTCGGCGCATGTACCCTTACCCTTACCCTCCTCTTCCTCCTCCCCCTCCCCCTCCTCCCCCTCCACCTGATCATTCTCCTCCTGCTCCTCCATCTCCTCCTCCTCCTCCTCCTCCTCCTCCTCCTTTCCTCCTCCTCCTCTTCCTCCTCCTCGTCGTCATCTTCGTCCTCCTTCTGGTGCTGCTCGTCATCTCGATTAACGTCCTCGGCGCTGCCATCGTGGTCGTAATCGACAGCGTCTCGCGGATTCTGCCTCCGCGGGCAGTGCGCGTCGGCACCGGCGCGAGCTCGTGGCTGCAGGACGCGGGCGCACTGGGACGCGACGGCAGGGCGCCTCTGGAGCGGCACCGATGCGAGGCTTCCCGCCCATGACCGATCATCACGGCCACCATCGCCAATCACCCATCGCTGTCACCTGTCGCCCATCGCCATCACCCATACCATCATCGTCATGATCACCGTCGCCGTCGTCGACGTCCACCGCCAAGCACGGGCCGGTGATCTGGCGCAGCCAACCAAGTCGAGCTCGGGGAGGGGCGCAGCCACGCGCGGGGCAGAGAACACCAGGGAATTCACGACAAGCGATCCCCACAGAGGTCGCCGTCCATCGGGCACAGGGGCTCTAGAAACTTGGGCACCCACGAGGGCTGATGCCCCGACTGTGCATCCCGTCTCCCGAGCCCCAGAACCGATGCGGTCGCGCGAGGTACGCATCCGAAGGAGTGCCATTCACCAGGCGCCCAGAGAGTCTCTTGGAGAGTGAACCACTGACTCAGGCTCGGCTCACAGAGGTTCATAACAAATTCAAGGAACATTCGAAATGCGCAAAGAAGTTCCTCAATGCATCATTGCGCAGTCCACAGATCGGCCGCATGCTTCTGAGCTGAGCCGCTAAGTTCTAGGTGGGAGCGCCTCGACTGCGGACCTCGACTGCCCCCGCCCCACATGCCACGCAAAGAAATCGACAAACCACTCTCGAACGCGTTGTAGATTTAAACCCGTGACGGTTATCGCGCGTGCCTCTTCGATTCGTTTGCATGCCCGAATCGCCCGAATCCTGACTCCCCCCTCTACCACCTCCTATTCCTCCGCCTCGTCCTCCTCCTCCTCCTCCTCCTCTTCCTCCTCGTCCTTCCCCTGCTCCTCTTATCTGGTCCGCTCCTGTATTCCCTCCTCCCCTTCCCCTCTCCTCTCCTCCGCCTCCGCTTCGACTCCGCCTCCGCCTCCGCCTCGGCCTCCGCCCACGCATCCGCCTCCGCCTCCGCCTCCGCCTCCGCCTCCCCTTCCTTTTCCTCCTCCTCCTCCTCCTCCTCCTCCTCCTCCTCCTCCTCCTCCTCCTCTTCCTCCTCCTCCTCCTTTTTGCATGCGCTGTGCTCGGTGCGACGCAGAAG